AGCTGGATCGGCATGGCGTCTAACACCGGAGGCTGGAAGAAATCCTGTCTGAACTAACTCCAAGCGGCGAAAAGAGAAAAGCAGGATCCACCCGCCGTGTACGGGGTTTGCCGCGGCGCGCGCCGAGCCAGTACTGCCAGCTCGCTGCGATGCCCGACCCATTCCCGTAGCAGCTCTTGCGGCGTCGCCGCGCTGCGAGCTCCGAATTTCAACACTTCTGCTGCACGCGCGACTCGTGCAATGGTTCTACGATCCTTCGTCCGAGTACGTAAACCGAAGTTTGCTATACGAATCCTCCGCGTTGAGATCGTCCCACGCCGAAGCATTTGTCATCGACCGCGTCTAGATCGAAAAAGCCACGTAATCGTGGTCTTCTCATCGCACGTTGAGAAATGCGCGCTATTCTTGACTCCTCCGCCTCTTCTTCTGGTGGGTCGTGGCGCTATCCCTTGTGAGTCACATGGAATCCATTTCCCGCCCTCGAACCGTGTGGAAGCGCATTGTTTGCAATTTCGTGTGATGAACAACAATATTTTTTCTAGACATTGACATGTCGCAATTCTTGTACCAAATCACCGACTTCCATTGTCATCCTAGCTTCTTCGCACAAACTCCCGACTTGGAGACGTGATATGCTCGTTGTGACTGCCACCCAGACGTTGGTCCTGGTATGCCCGTCCGCCGGAGACGTCGGTACGCCACTATCAACTTACCATGGCGAACACTCACACGAGACCGGCGTCCTACAACATGAACGTGATTGTCACAACAAATCTCAGATAAGTACGTATGAGAAGAAAAGATCACCTTCACTGCATCCTGCCACGATATTTTAACCCGTCTCCGGTATGAGGCACTGAGAGCCGGGACTTTACGAGACGAATTCCGATCCGGTTACTCCCGTGAGCATGGCTACTACTGCGGAGGGGGAGAGGTTCGGGGCGGGCCCGGGGTCTGACGGGGCAGCAGCTACTATACTCATTCGTATGCCGCTGCCCCTCGTCAGAGATGAATCGTGCTATCGCGGGCGTACGTACTCCAGCTATATCTACGCAGCTGTGCTCGGCTGCTGCGCGCGGCGTATATAAATAACAGACTGCGTAAGAAGCTGCGCATACTGCCTATACATATACGACGCATCAGCGATACCTCACTACGAGGCGAGGCTCGTGTGCTCTATTGTTAACGCGAAGCCATCGCCTACCCTCGTTACGACGTATTTTGTTCTCTCTGTTTTGATTGGGCATGAGAAGCTCCGACGGGCGTCGGCGCATGGAATTTGAGCACTAACGCCAAAGATAAGAATAGCTAGGGCGTATATGACCACTGCATAATGTAAAGAAAATGGTACCCTGTACGCACGTTGCGTTGTCGAACAGCGCGATCCATCGCATTTTGATCGAGTCTTCGCGTACATATGTGCGGAACGCGCCGGGAGTACGAGATTGCGTCGGTTCAATCGCGGCGCACAGCGTCCGGGGAGCGGCTCGCACGGGGGGGAAGTGAGGACGTTTGGCCAGAGAGGCGCGTTCGCCTCGCTTTTGTGCCGGATACAGTACATATCTGAAAATCCCCGGTGGCTCGATACGCACAGTATGCGCGGCAGAAGCTGGCGAGCGGGATGCTTCGGTCCTGACGCGTCCCTATCAATTCGGCAAGGAGGAAGGCAGGGGTTCTTGGATTGCGGTCGGAAAAGTTTGGTAGTGAGTGGATAGGCCACAATACGATGGCGTGTTGTGGCAATGTGAAAGGCCCTGCCCATGGAATTAGAGCAAGTGGAAATGTTGCGCGAGTAGGTTCCGGCGCACTATCTATAGGTATCCCCCTATATATAAGTAGGTCCTATAGTAGAAGTATATAGAGTATAGATATAAGATATATGATATAGATAATAGATATAGATATAGAATATAGATATAAACATAGATATAGATATAGAGCATAGATATATTTGGAAAGCCATCCCTTCCAAAATCATTTTCAACATTTCAATACACAATTTTAAATCAATTTTAAACATTTCAAATTAAGTTAATAAAGATAAATTTAAGATATTTCAATTAGATATATATAACGTAAATTAAATTATTCAAATTCAAAAATCAGATGTCACAGCATATACAAATCAATTTATTAACTTGCAAATAATTCAAGCGAACTTTCCAAAATAATTGCCTGAAGTACCCAAATTCCTTTACATCATTGTAATACATTTATTTTTCTAAATGTAAGCAATTTATTTTCCAAACAACAACCAATTTACTAACTGCAATTGTAATTGAGAACGATGTTACATAAACTCAGGAGCGAAATGTTCAAATCTGCTTCATGACGCGATCACCGGCTACTACAAATTGGAAATTATAAGTTTTTAATTAATTTAGCAGAATAACGAATCATGTATCACTAAGTTTTGAAATTAATTTATTACTTTCAACATTAATGCACCGGCAGAAATGCGATCATTATCATTATCATTATCATTATCATTATCATTATCATTATCATTATCATTATCATTATCATTATCATTATCATTATCATTATCATTATCATTATCATTATTATCGTTATCGTTATCGTTATCGTTATCGTTATCGTTATCGTTATCGTTATCGTTATCATCATCATTATCATTATCATTATCATTATCATTATCATTATCATTATCATTATCATCATCATTATCATTATCATTATCATTATCATTATCATTATCATTATCATTATCATTATCATTATCATTATCATTATCATCAATAATAGTTTGCTAGTTAACTTTTAACTAATTGTTGACGACGAAGACTGGTTTTTGGTCGTGCTGAAAAGTCGGTGTCGTGGGACAGGGCTAAATATGTAGGTTGTAGATCACGTATAGATATTCTAGTTCGTGTTTCGCAAGTTCGCGTTGTTGTGCCGTGCGTGCAAGCGGAAAATATGCGTCATTCGTTCGTTACTCATTTTGTATAAATAGGAAACATCCGCCACACATGCAGGATGTGAATAGCTGGCATGTGCATGTACGTCACTATGACGTGCTGTGACGTATTTACGATGTCGCAAATAACGTAATGAATCGACCGCTACACGATTGTACTTTTGCGCCTATCTATCAACATCACAGGGCCATGAATTACTTCTATGTCAATTACTTGTACGACAAAAAATGAGCAACTCAGCAATGAGATGAAGCTTGACTATTTTGCGATTTTGTTTACGCGTTAGTAGGTATAGCGCATAGTAGGTATTGCATAGTAGGTGGCATAGTAGGTATAGTAGTATAGCGCATTGGAGTGTGCACAGTGGTGATTGTATATACCTATTAATTTTCGGGTTAATTTGGAATACCATGGAGCATAGTACAAACACGTATAGTGGCGTTAGGGGATCGTCTCCTAACAATATGGCATGTGCCGCGTGGTCTTATACAACGTCGGAAGGAGACATCGTAAGCCGATTTTACCCTGATGCTTTCATTAATAAAATCCGATCTCAACCATGCACATCTAAAAAAAACCTATAAGCCTGCAGTATAATACACACGCGCGTACGCGCCCACGCACGTACACGCGCGCAGGCGCGCGCACACACATAACATGCACCTACACATAATATCAGGGGTAATAAGAGAGATAGGTAGACTATAGATAGATAGATAGATAGATAGATAGATAGATAAATAAATAGATAGATAGAT